CTGGAACTACAGGTGCGCGCTACCACGCCCGGCTAATTTTTTGATTTATTGTAGAGATGAGGTCTCGCCAAGTTGCTCAGGCGGGTCTCAAACCCGTGGGCTCAGGCAATCCACTCACCTCAGCCTCCCAAAGCGTGGGATTACAGGCTGAGCCACCGAGCCTGGATAGAGCTTGCTTATTTGAGCCCAGCTAGAGCTTGCTTATTTCAATGTGTAAACGCTGAACAGCCGGGCTGGCATCAGCAACACCACCACCATATCCATGCTCTTCACAGTCAAGCTTCTCAGCGTGTCTACACCACCACCTGTCAGTCCATGCCCTGCCTTGTTCTTCAACCACCGGCGCCCCTTCAGACCCCGCCGCTCTCCCAAAGCTGCTCTCCCGAGGTCACTTCCTCTGTCCTGAATGCCATGGGCCCTGGACGCACACCAGCGTTTTCTGGCCTCAGCATGGCATTCTCCGCCCTTGGCACCCACGACCTCTTTTCCTCCCAGCTCTCCTATCTCTTGGGTTGTGGCTTCTTGGGCTTTTGGGGGGCGTCTCCGACTCCTCTGTGGTCTGGGCATCCTTCCTAGATGCCGATGACCTTCACATCAAGCCCCCAGCAGCACCTTTTTGGGGGATCAACGGCATCAGATGCTGACACACTGCGGATGCCCTGCAGTGTCTCAGACTCAACTCGGTCTCAATCAGATCCATGACTTTGATCCTCCCCCTGAATTCATTGTCTCTGTGGCATTAACTTTTCTGGACTCTCCCATTTTATCCCACACTTACTCTAGTCGTATTGATTTAACACAGTCTCTCAGGGTCTACTTGTCTGGATTTCCACCAGATTAAGCTACCAGATTAAGCCCCCCCGCCCCCGCACAGAGACTGAGTCAGGAGAGGCCTGGAGACCCAGAGGAGGTCCCCCGCTGCTGCAAAGCCCGAGAAGGTACTTCCATCGCTGTGTTCTCGCTAACAATGTTGAGGAAGAGGGACTTTTTACATCTACTGTTTCAGCGCAGCAAGGCGATATAATCTTCAGGCCAATAAACCTGGCTCTGGCTCCTCAGTGGAATGCTAGCATGTTTGTGGAAATGTGGAAGTCAAGGCCTGCACTGTATTGATGCCTACGCTGCAGGGGCCTCATCAGAAGTCACGAGCAAACTCTAGTCCACTTTACCTAACGGGGTGGCACCGGGTGGGGGCTGTGCCAGGGAGGGCGACAGAGCTGGTGCCCTCTGCAGCAGACCCCAAGAGGACACAGGGGAGGAAGGCCTCTCTGCCCTCACAGACTCGCCTCTCGCTGGCCTCACCCTCTTTCTCCCCTCACAACCTCCCCTCTTGCTGGCCTCACCTTCTCTGCCCTCACAGCCTCCCCTCTCACTGGCTTTACCCCGGCCCTGGGATTGGGTGGCATGAATGCTTCAGCGTGTAAAGGGAAAGGCAGCTGGGCGAAGGGCACAGGGCTCTCCCCAACTCCCATCCGGCTCCTCCTCCCCATGCCCAGGGACCCAGCACCCTGGCCTGGATGCTGGGGCCCTTCTTCCCCCAGCCGCCTTCACAGACCCTGCTCACCTGTGGGCCTGGTCCTTGCCAGATGCCAGACCAGCCAGGTGCACTGCACCCTGGCTCCCTGGCATAGTTCATGTGGCGAACATAAACCTGAGACCTTGTGCCAAATATGGGAGTGAAAGGATTTCCCAAGAGAGAATTCAGTGGGTGGGAGAATCCTCATTTGCGGAAAGACTTCACGGCTGTGGGCCCCTACACACACCAGCACTGCAACACGCCAGCAACTGCAGACGCGGGTCACTGGAAATCTGTTATGGGCCCTCCCTGTGTCCTGCGATTCCAGCATGTCACTGACCCTGGGAGTGATGAGTGGTTTTGGCTGCCTCCCAACAACCAGGACCTGCTGCCTCCATGTTCCAAGTTAGTCTGCTTTCAGTGAGGAAGTTCACCAAGGAGGCAGCAGGTTCTCTGAACACCAAAACAGCTCCGTGCCAGCGGGGCTGGAGACAAAGGGCTCTGTGTGCTAGCAGTGGGAGCTGGCACCAACAGAGCTCAGCATCCATGGTTGGGGGCACTGTTCCATGCCAGCAGGGCACTGGAGCCCTCACAAACCTGCCCCGGCCCACCCAGCGTCCACCTACAGCCCCTTGGCCTGAGCACCGTGTAACAGCAAGGATGACACAGCAACTTGGCAGAAACGGCCTGGAAAGAATTAAGACCTTTCTTCTTATCTTTTGAAGGTTTTGATTTATTCCTATGTGGGTATTTCAGATCCAAAGAAGACACATTCTGAAGTGAAAGAAAAACAAACTCTAGTTGTTTCTGGCTAGGATTCAAGGATTCGGGTTTGAGGTTCTCGCTGCCACTTGGCCTCCTGCTGGAGGGCGTGTCTTACCGTGATGACTGAAGATGCCACAGCAAACCCCAGCACACACTTCATGTTTTCCCTTTCCGTGTCCAACGCTACACTGAGGTCATTGGTATAGTCGTAATACAGCCACCATAAGACACCGCAGACAACTAGAAAACAGGACAGCAAAGAGCTCAGCGTGCCAGCCGTGAGGCAGCCAACGCCACGTGGAAGCCCAGCCCCGGGGGCCTACAAACACCCACTGTCCCCTGGAGGGCCTAGGCAGAGCCAGGCAGCCATGAGGCACCACCTGCCCCAGGATGCTGCTTGTCTGTGGGAAACCCTAGGAGATGATCCAGAGCACAGGGGCCTGGCCCACAGCTGGGTCTGGGCACATGCAGGGAGGAAGCTGCACGGACAGGATGGTGCGAGGAGCATGGTGAGAGAGCCACAGTCTAACCTCCCAGCAAGCTCTGCAGGGACAGCTCCTCCAGGGCCTGGATGTTGGCTGTCATTCACAAAACCAGGCAGACTGACGTCACCTGTGGGAATCGCCCAAGTCAGAGGCTTATTCTGAGGATACCCTGACATTGCAAATACTCTGCAGGGACAGAAGACCGCCTCATGCCATCCCAATTACTACAGGAAGGGCACAGCTGTCTATGAATCGCAGGTGGGAAGAGTGTCCTTCCCACCATTTGCCTGTCCACCAACACAGGGCTCCAGGGCCCCCAGCGCGGAGGGCAGAGCTGATCACTCAGAAGAATGAAGCAGTTATGAAAAGTCAAACATAGGCCTGCGCTACACAAAATGTCTGGTCAACAATGGACTGCATATATGACAGTGGTCTCATATAATTATTCTACTGTATTCCTACTGCAACTTTTCCATGTTCCATAGACACCCAAATACTCCCCACTGTGTCACAACTGCCTAAAGTATTCAGTACAGTCACATGCTGCCCAGGTTTGTAGCCCGGGAGCAGTAGGCTACACTGCACAGCCGAGGTGCGCGATAGGTGGCCCCATCTATGTGTGTGAGCACACTCACTGTGTTCACATAGTGGCAGCATTGCCCGGCATGTGCTCTCAGAATGAGTCCCCACCACTCAGCGATGCATGCCCACGCTCCTTGCCAACTGGGAAGGGACCGTGGCCTCGAGTGTCCCCTGCCCTCAGCCCTGCTCTCCCCAACCCCTGTGGGACCACAGTCCAGCAACAAGGGGAGAGCGGGCACAGCACACGGTCTCCTGGTCTTCGGGCTGTGCGTTCCTCTCTTCAGGTGATCGGAGCCTCTGCACGAGAGCTGTGGCACCCCATGCCAGTAGGGGAGGTGCAGGGCAGAAGAAACCCTTTAAGATGTTCCCAGTGGTGCTGGGATTCTCTTTGAACGTTATAGACACTGAGATCACTCCACAGCAGGTCCGCCTCAGGGGTGGCATGGTGCCATCCAGGAAAGCCACTTGGCTGTGACCCGGGAAACACAGCTACCCCCGCAGCCCTTTCGGGGCCTGGGTTTCCTCACAAGTGAAATGACGGGGCTGGATACTGTCCAAGATCCCATTTAGCTGAAAAAATGCCAACGTTCAAGTTCTATACTTAATGGAAATGACTTTAATCTAAAATAAATTAATCAAGTAGAAGTACTTACACAGCAATCCCAAAATCACCAAGGAAATGAAAATGTGAACCAGAAGGGTGGTGATGAATCGGAAGGTGAGCATCATGGCCACAGACAAGGCTGAAAAGCAAGCAGGGTATATGAATCCAACAGCAGCAGAGGGGACAGGCGACAAAAGCCAAGCCCGCCAGAAACGTGAGGGCTGGTGTCCTGGGACACCCACCAAACACCAAATGAGTCACAAGAGACACCCGGCACCCCTCCAAAGCACACGCCAGCTCAGGAAGCCCATTTTAGAGTGAATTAAAGAAAACAATTAACAAGCAGGCCTTATTCCCAAAGACCAGAATCTTTTTGTTCTTACTAGTCCAGATGAACCGTTTAAAAATTCTGCCATACTTCATTTTCGTGACTTCATATTGGACATGGCTTCTGGTCCCCCTGACAGCTATGTTTTTCATAGCCAATTCATAAATTGGTAACCTAATTTATACATCACCCCTTCCACAGGGCTGAGGACCAGACTGGGACATGGCCAGCACATCAGGCCACCCCACCCCACAGGTTTCTGGCAGAGCCAGCTGTTTCTCTCCTATTCTTATCGTCTCTCCCCCACTTAAATTTGAAACATCAAAAAATATCTATAAAGAAAATAAATACAAAGGTTTATATTGTAAGTTAAGACACTACTTCTCATTGTTCAACACATAGAAGTGCTAGGAACTTGGACATTCCACAAACAATTACTAAAATAAACGAAACTGAGAATTACCTAATGCGAGGATACACAGGCCAAGGATTGTATCTCTTCCCGACATTATTCCACTGAGTATTTGATGGAGGGTGTCCACATCATTTATCAGAACAGATGCAAACAGGGAGTAACACTCCGGTGTTTGAGGAATGCATTGGTTAAACAAGGGAAAAGACTTGCTAAAAATAAAAAGATAGAATAGATAGCAAAAATGTTTATTTAATTATCTTGAAAACAAGTTATTTATTTAAAATATTTACTTAAAATTCTCAACCACCAAGAACGCCTAAGATCTGCTGTAATAGCAAGTAGTTTAGCATCTGGTTTGCAGAGCACACCATGGGAAGCCAAGCAGCTTTGCTCTGCTGCAGTGATCAGTTGATGCACTGGATGGAAAGCTGATTATGGGGATGTAGCGAAACCAAAAACCTAAACTTGGGAGCAATATCTTAAAAAATAAAAATTGTGGCTGGGTGTGGTGGCTCACACCTATAATCCCAGCACTTTGGGAGGTTGAGGTGAGAGGATTGCCTGAGCCCACGGGTTCAAGACCATTCTAGGCAACTTGGCGAGACCTCATCTCTACAATAAATCAAAAAATTAGCCGGGTGTGGTGGTGCATAACTGTAGTTCTAGCTACTTGGACAGCTGAAGTTGGAAGAATCACCTGAGCCCAGCAGGTCGAGGCTGCAGTGGCTGTGAGTGTGCCACTGCACTCCAGCTTGCATAACTGAGTGAGATTACATCTCAAAAAAATAAAAATAAATAAAAATAAAATAAATAAAAATTGCTTGTATTTAAGGTATATGTGATGTTTTGATATACATACACATTGTGAGGTGATATTGCAGTCAAGCTAATTAACATATCCATCACCTCACAGTTACACTTTTATTATGAGGACACTTAAGATCTACTCTCTCAGCACATTTCAAGTATATGATGTATACGATGCTGTATTATTAACTATAGTTGCCATGCTGTACATTATATGTCTAGAGCTTTTTCATCCTACATAACCGAAATGAGTACCTTCAATCAACATCTCCCATTTCCTCATCCACCTCCACCCACCCCTTGTTCCTGGTACCCACCATTCTATTCTGTTTCCATGCATTTGACTTTTTTAGATTCCACATAAAAGTGAGATTGTGTAATATTTGTCCGTCTGTGCCTGGCTTACTTCACTTAACAAAATGTCCTCTGGGTGCATCCATGTTGTTGCAAATGGCAGGATCTTTTTTTTTTCTCCCCAAGGTTAATTAATACTCTGTGTATGTATATATGTACCACATTTTCTTTCCCCCCACCCCCAGCCTCTCAAATAGCTGGGACTACACACACTCTGCCACAGCCAGCTAATTTTTTGTTTTTGTAGAGATGAGGTCTCACTGTGCTGCCTAGGCTTTTTTCTTTTTTTTGAGTCAGAATCCTACTCTGTCACTCAGGCTGGAGTACAGTGGCATGCTCACAGCCACAGCAGCCTCGACCTGCTGGGCTCAGGTGATCCTTCAACTTCAGCCTTCCAAGTAGCTGGAACCACAGGCATGTGTCACCATGCCCAGCTGATTTTTTTATTTACTGTAGACACGAGGTCTTGCCATGTTGCCCAGGCTGGTCTCAAACTCATGGGCTCAGATAATCCTCTAGCCTCTGCCTCCCAAAGTGTGGGATTACAGGTGTGAGCAGGCCCAGCACCTCATTTTCTATATGGGGAACATTTTTGACTCTCCTTCTTGGCCCTTCGTAGATATAAACTCTCAACTCCAACACAAGAATTCCATTTCTGTAAGGAACTATATGAACTGGACCAGCCAGAAAGTGTGTAAACGACACCAGCAGCTTTGTTCTGTCCTCTTTACAAAGGCACATCAGGCTTGAGAGCCTTGCTAAGATCAGAGGGAGTGCTTAATAGATGAGTCATAGATGTGTGATTGACTCTGCTCTTGACAATTCTCTTGGGTAGATGAGAAATTGACCTTTTTTGAGGCCCTTTCTGAAATGTAAAAATGCCCAGGAACATACATGCTAATGAGTCTTAATGAGGCCACCAATACCTTCCCAGGGTCCTATTCTTTCTTTCCATAAACCCCAAACCACGTTATCCCAACCCAAGAAGTGCCAAATTATCTAACAGGTTGCTCAAAGCCTAGTCACCAATCGTTCTGTGAAATGTATGAGGATGAAACAAGGAGGAAATCAAATGTAAACAATATTACATTGCCATCAAGAAAAAAAAATTACCTCTGAAACTCCCAACATGGAATACGTGGAAGAATCTTTCTCAGGAAGTCACAGTATTACAGAAATAGTTCCTGAGTCACTGGATAGTGGTTCAAGAGGAGAGTAACACAACAGAGAAGTTTTTAAAGCTAAGTTTTTGAAGGGGCAATGCATTTACATGTCTTTAATTCCAAAAGGTATGATACATTAAACAGCAAGAACCTTCCCTTCCTTGTCTCTGAGCTGCTGAAGCTTCCTCCCAGGCTGTTTTTGGTTTTTCATATATAACTCTAGACATTTGCAGCAATATATAAATATAACAGGAGGTTTAACTGGAAGTCAGCAACTGAACTCAAAGATGATAAACATTATACTCTAGAAAGGGATGCCAGATCCTGCCTGATTCAGGGCTTGCCAGAAAAGCAGTGGGAGAAAACTGGATAGATCATTCTTAAACCCACACCCACACTGAGCACACGAAGGGGGTGACAGTTGATAAGAAGGGAATTCTTTCTAGTTGGCTGCACATTCCTACCAGTGGTATGTGAGGGTTCCAGTTGTTCCACATCCTCACCCTGGTATTATTAGTTTTTAAAACTCACCTCTAGTAGGTGAGTTGTGATATCTCATTGTGGTTTTAATTTGCATTTCCCTCATGGCTAATGATATTAAGCATCACTCCATGTGCCTATAGGCTGTCTGCATTTCTTCTTTTGAGAAGTGTCCAAGTCTTCTGCCCAGTTTTATTAGGCTGTTTGTATTTTTGTTATTGATTTAAAGTCTGGGGTTGGCCAAATTTGTACATAAAGTTTTACTGAAACACAGCAAAGTGACCAGATGCAATGGCTCACACTTGTAATCCTAACTATTTGGGAGGTCAAGGCAGGAGGATTGATTGAGGCCAGGAGTTCAAAATCAACTTAACCAACATAGTGAGACTCCATCTTTACAAAAAATTTTAAAATGAGCAGCTCATTGGTATGCACCTGTAGTCTCAGCTACTCAGGAGGCTGAGGCAGGAAGATCACTTTGAGCCCAAGGAGTTCGAGGTTACAGTGAGCTATAATCATGCCACTGTACTCCAGCTTGGGTGTCAGAGCAAGATCTTGGATTTTTTTGTTTTTTTGAGTAGGAGTCTCACTCTGTTGCCCAGGCTGGAGTGCAGTGACACGCTCACGGCCACTGCAGCCTTGACCCGCTGGGCTCAGGTGATCCTTCCACCTCAGTCTTCCAAGTAACTGAACTACAGGCATGCGCCACCATGCCTGGCTAGTTTTTTTATTTTATTGTAGAGACAAGGTCTCTCCATGTTGCTCAGGCTGGTCTCAAACCCCTGAGCTCAGGCAATCCTCTTGCCTCAGCCTCCCAAAGTACTGGGATTACAGGTGCAAGCCACTGCACCTGGCTAAGACCTTGTTTCTTTAAAAAAAAAAAAAAAAAAGTGCAGCAAAGCTCATTTGTTTAAGGACTTTCTATAGCTGCTTTTGCACTACTCTGAACTGACAGAGTAGTTGTGACAATGACAGTATAATCCACAAAGCCTAAAATATATATTATCTGACCCTCTACAGAAAAAGATTGCAGGTCCTGATTTAAAGAAATTCTTGACTGGGCTCGGTGGCTCAGCCTGTAATCCCAGCACTTTGGGAGGCTGAGGCAAATGAATTGCCTGGGCCTGCGGGTTTGAGACCAGCCTGGGCAACTTGGCGAGACCCTGTGTCTACAATAAAATAAAAAATTAACCAGGCACGGTAGCACATGCCTGTAGTTCCAGCTACTCAGAAGGCTGAGGCAGAAGGATCGCCGGAGCCCAGCAGGTAGATACTGGGGTGGCCGTGAGCGTGCATGCCACTGCACTCCAGCCTGGGCAAAGGAGTGAGACTCCAACTTAAAAAAAAAAAAAAAGATTCTTTATATAGTCTGGCATTTGCCCCATGGATGCATTGTGAATATTTTATTCCAGTTTGTAGCTTTTTTCTTTTTCATTTTCTTAATGATGTCTTTGGATGAGTAGAAGTTTTAAATTTTGATTAAGACCAATGTATCTTTTTTCTTTTATTTATAGTGCTTGTGTCCTCTCAAAGAAATCTTTGCCTACTTCAAGGTTACAACAATACTCTCCAGTGTTTTCTTCTAGAAGCTTTACAGATTTAGCTCTTGTGTTTAGGCCTAAGAAAGATCTAGCTCAAATTAATCTTTCTGAAGGTCTGAGGTAAGAGTCCAGATTCCATGTCTTCTGCTTGCTCCAGCACCACTTGTTTTAAAAGACTATTTTCTTTGCTACTTTTATTGAAAAATCAGTTGACCATGTATCTTCAGTTCCATCTCAGGGTTCTCTGTTCTGTTCCATTCATATATTTGTCTATCGTTGTTCCAATACCACACTGTCTTAGTCACTGTGACTTTATAAAAACTCTTGAAATCAGGTAGGATGAGCCCCCAATGTTACTGTTCATCTTCAAGATTTTTGTGTGCGTGACTCTGGATCTTTCTGTCATTTTTGGAATAAAATCAATTCCTTTAAAAATTACATTGAAGCCAGGCTCGGTGGCTCAGCCTGTAATCCCGCGCCTTTGGGAGGCTGAGGTGAGTGGATTGCCTGAGCCCGAGGGTTCGAGACCCGCCTGGGCAACTTGGCGAGCCATCATCTCCACAATAAATCAAAAATTAGCCAGGCGTGGTAGCGCACGCCTGTAGTTCCAGCTTCTCAGAAACTGAGGAGGAAGGATGGCCGGAGCCCAGCAGGTCGAGGCTGTGGTGGCTGGGAGTGGCCACTGCACTCCAGTCTGGGTGATAGAGTGAGACTCCAACTCAAAAAAAAAAAAAAAAAAAATTACATTGAAGGATTGTGTTAAATCTATAGAACTAGCAACATTAAAATGGTTCATGCATAAGGCGTATTTCTCCACTTATATTATTTGGGTGTTCTTTAATTTGTCTCAATGATGTCTTACCA